TTTGTTTAACTGCGGAGGAAGATTTTATCATGTGACTAACTTATCTGATTCATCAGATCAGCTTGCCGTAACACTATTTGCAGCCACAAAAATGAATTCGCAGCCACACAGACAAATATTCGTAAATGTTGTGGCTAAAAAATTTCCAAAGCATACCTTCTACTCTATGCACTGTGCAAGTAATTCAGTAAGCAGTGAAGTAATTTAGAAGTTAGCTAAGAAGCTTTTTTTAACAATTTGTTGTAAATGACATTCCTCTTAGAGTTATCATAAACAAAAAGAAGAAGTTGTGAACTTAGCATTCTAATTCAAACATCTAGGGAGATACTGGAAGAAAGTCACAGTGACAGTATACAAACTCAACAAAAATGACAAACAAACCTAGAAGACCTCAGCTCTACAGCCTATTTCCAGTTAATGTGTGTGGAGTTGCAGCAGAGGCAGAAGCAAAGACAAAATTGCAGAAATTAAGTCTGGAATAAGGGGAATCTGTGATTCTCTCTGATGATGCCACAGCAACATTTCAATCAGTAATCTACTCTGAATATCAGAAATGGACTACAGCCACCATAGAAGTTCACCACAAAATTCTCAAAACCTATGGCATACCCAGGTGAAATCTCTTACTTGATGAACACACATTCATGTAATTCATCAGAGTCAGATTCTCATATCTGTTTATTATTATAGATTCAAAAAGGGCAGTTGTTAGCAAGTTGGAAGATGATAGTAATTGTATGACAACATTATATTTGTTATATAGTGTAAGAATCACTCCTGGTCAATTGGTAAGTAAATACTATGTTAATATCATAATGATAAATATCATAATAATGATTATTAATACTTTTTAGGTCCTGATGTTCTTTGAGAGTTGGAGGGAGCTCTTGCCAAATTCCCCAATTATTATGTTATTGGGGTTTTGGTAGCCCCTGCATTTAGTGAAGGGATGGATGATGAAGTTTTGTCAGATTTAGTTGACTATATGTCAACTATTTCTGAACTAAATATAGGGGAGGAAGAATATCAAAGGAGAATAGAGGATCTTAAACTTCAATTGCAAGAATATGAAAATATTTCAAGCAAAGTTCAAGATCTTCAAATTAGTATTCAAGATCTTGTAGCTCAAAATCAAGAGCTTCATCAAGAAATTGAGGCTAGAGATCAAAGGCTTCAGTTTTTATTATATTTGGTTATTATTTTCAATTTTCTTTTATTGTTTTTTAAATAAATAAATAAACATTTAAACAATTACGATCTTTTCCCTGCCCGAGAAGATAGTCATTCCCAAAATAAGTATATGAGCGAGTCGATCGATCGAAAACACAATCACGAACGTTATGCTCTTGAAATTTTAACTGACGATAATTATAACATTTGTTTACAGGCTATTAAAAAATTATATCTTATTGTTATGTACTGTTACGGCGAGCCGATCTGATGAATCAGATAAGTGAGTCACATGGTAAAATCTTCCTCCCCAGTCAGAAGAACACCCCTACGTAAAAGATTTAATTGCTCTCCCAAACCCCAGACCACTCGACCATAACAGTAGTTACCATTATTGTCTATACACTTTTGCAGCCTTTTTTCCCAACTCTCAAAACTTTTGTAATACTCATCTTTTGAGATACTTGAAAAAACTGCCTGAACACCCCTTGCAAGGTTTTCAACCTTGTCATACTTCTTATTTTAAGTTCTTTTTTGAGTTTAGGAAATAGAAAAAAAATCACAGGGTGCAAGGTCTGGACTGTAGGGTGGGTGAGGAAGAACATTGACTCTTTCTTGCTTTAAGTACTTAGTAACAACTTTTGAGGTATGTGGTGCAGCATTGTCATGATGAAGCATGACATCTTGAACAGTACTTCTCTCACTCATTTCCCTAAACTTTGAAAAAACTTCTGGTAAAATCTTGTTAGCATAAAGGTTGCCAGTTACAGTGGTTTCTTTTGGAATCACAATTTTGGCTACAACGCCTTCAATAGAAAAAAAAATACAAAACATGCATTTTTTACTGTTTTGTGCAGTTTGTGCAATTTGAGGCCTATTCTCCTCATGCCCAAGCCAAACTTTGTTGGCTTGTTTACTTGCAACTGTGTAGAAATGTATCCATGTTTCATCTCCAGTGATAATGTTTTTGAAGCCACCTTCCAGAACTTGCAAAAGTTGCCTAGAACACTCAACTCGTTTTTGCTTATTTTCATTTGTCAGCACATGTGGAACCCATTTTTTACAGAGTTTTCTCAGACCAAGCTCATTATGAAGAATGTAAATGATTCTTTCATCAGATATTCCAACTTCTTCTGAAAGTTTTCATGTAGTTATATGATAATCCTCACTAACAAGGTCTTCAACCTTTCCAATTGTTACTGGAGTGACAGCTTCACAAGGATGTCCAGAACGAGCCTCATCTTTAACACTTTGTTTTCCAAGTTCAAATGCTTCAATCCAGCAATGAATTGTTCTCAAAGATAGTGCTTGGTCACCTTCTGCAACCACCAACTTTTGATGGATATCAGCAGCAGTGCTGCCATTTTTCTATTCAACAAAGATATAGTAATATTGGTTTTCATGAGTAGAATGTTCCATTTGATTCAATAATTACCAAAGCAATTTGCATCAAGTTTTTTGTGCAATGTTTGTCAAATAGAGTACATTCAGAAAATAAAAACTTTATTTGGATAGGTTTGCAAATCATTAAGATATATGTAAATTGTCATTACTTTTCAAGCATACCATGTACAAGTAAGATTCAGTATATAAGAGAGTAAGAGAATTAAAGCTTTGTTTTATTCAGAGAGTAATGGTTTAATTCACTTTCTTACTTCTATCATAACCAATATCAAATGTTTCACCATTTGCTTTATTGCATATAAACAAGAAAGATTTCTTTGTAGCTGCTCTAATCAATAATTTATTAGTTTGCTGGCTAATTCACATAATTCTTTATGACTTAAGATTGTTATTCTCTCAACTAAAAGTACTTCTTTGTTAACTCTTTGTTCATTTGTTGGTACCAGAAAACAATGTCATAGTAATAATGTAATTAACTGAGACCATAAATCAGAACATGCCAGTAACTTCTTTATTTAGTCTTTGTCTATTATCAAGGCATGTAATTTCTCTATTTGGTCTTTGTCTATAATCAGGGCACAGTAATTTCTTAATGTAACACTATCAATATCACATGAAGTCACAGGCATGCATTTAGAGAGGGAGGTTTACTATGGTGGGGATTCGAAAAGACCATGCAGTGTATAATATGGAGGGTGTGCGTGTTTACGTCTAATTCCCAAGCTCGGGAATGAGAAGTAGCGTGCATTTATGGAGGGTGTGCATTTATGGAGGGTGCATTTATGGAGGGTGCATTTATGGAGGGTTCACTGTATGTTTGAGCATCGCGGAAAAAGCGCAACGCACTTTTAACTATTTCTAGAAGAATAATTAAATATAGACTAATTATAGCGGTTTGTGCTGTCGCGGAAAAAACGCAACGCACTTTTAACTATTTCTAGAGAACAGTTAAATACAGGCTAATTATGCTGTCGCGAAAAAGACGCAACATTTTGTTTCCTAATGCAGTGTAGCGCCGTTGCGGATTTTCGAAATGCTGATATTACTAAATCAATGCTTTTTGTGAAACTGAACTAAAATTAGTGTCGATCATGGGGTTGTTGACTGCGGAGGAAGATTTTACCATGTGACTCACTTATCTGACTCATCAGATCGGCTCCTCGCCGTAACACTAACCATTTTTCTTCCTCCCATTCATCTTCCACTATCAGATCCCAATCAATCCCAGTCTTTGTAAATGCTGTAGATGTCTGGGGTAGACACTCTAGAGTATAGATTATACCTGTCGTTGGAATCATATTCATCATATTCTGTGTTGGTTGTTGATTATGCTGGACTGATTTTGATTCATGATTGGATCCGTGGATTGGACTGGATTGCTCAACTCTTGGGGCCTTATACTGGCATTTGATTTCTCAGAAGATGAGTAATTCTCCATCATCAGTATATTCGATTCCTTGGATTGTTCCTGGTCTAAATGGTTCATCCAGGTATTCTCCATTGGTAAGTCCAATTGGTCTGTGAGATATTGTACTATTTGTTCTGCTGCTAATGGATCCATTCCTTGAATTAAGATATCTAGGTTTATCTCTCCATTCATATTGGTCATTGCTGATGTCAGTTGTGCATTGGGTTGTGCTAGGTTCCAATTCTCATTGCTCAAGGTACATAATTGGGCGTTCATTGTTGAGTATGCTGCTGACATCGCTATATTGATGGTATCTTGGGGGGTAGATACTTGGAATGTTGTCGATAAGGGATTCGGAGCAGTTGGTCTGATTGTTATATCTGTTAATTCGGATTTGGTGTTGAGGTACGGAATGGGTTTCAATGAACATATTAGTTCAGAGTTCTGAGAACGAGTTGGACTGTGGATTGATCCATTTTCACTGCTCATGGTAATGTTGTTAATGTTGTTATTGTTTGTTGTGAGTGGTAAGTAGTAGTGGTTTGTTGGAGTGTTTTATTGGTAGATGGTTTTGTATGCTGAAGATGTTGTTCACTGTTGTGTATCTTGACTTGAAGACGAGTTTGATGGAGAAGAGGCAGCCTTTGTTTATATAACCATTTGGCCAAATGAGTGTACAACAGCTGTACTGGATTACTTCTTTAGTTTAGCTCCCTTTTTCGGTACTGTCGCTTCCACTAAAAAGCCTCACGATTTTCGTACGCTTACGCGCTAAATATGCCGTTGGTTCTCCATCAATATCTGAGACATATCGTTTTGTCAGATTCTTCCACAATCTTCCATCTAATTATTTTAGCAGATATTGGCGTTTTATCCCTTATTTGTCTTGATCCGTCTTTTCCGTTGGGATATCATTGGTCGTTCATTTGCTTGGTCATTTAGTGATTCCTCGCGTTGCATTTTTTTTGTATCAGCACAAAGATCTAAAAATAAATTCTGGTGATACGTATCCAAAAAATTTAACTTTAAAAGGAAATTTCAGTGTGAAATGTGCCCCTCCTCGCACAATTCCGAACCAATTTCCGTTGCTATCTCCTAAAAATTCGGGTACTGTTGTCCTAAGGGTGGTGATAAAATTTACTTTACGTTAATGACATCAAGTAATTTAATTTGTATCACGATCTGGAAACTTTTGATCAAATCGATGAATCAACCAATCATTCGTTGAAGTAATCTATACTATTAGATTCACACGCACAAAATCACGTTACGTATTCAAAATACTATTAATGTTGATGTCTGCGACTGTTACTATTTCCATTGGTGGATGTCTATTTAAATATTTATTGAATAACAATAATATACAATAAATTCCATTTTACAAATGTTCTCTTATTTTTACACATTATCATCAGTCGCAGCAACAGCAACATATCCTCCATTCCTCCTAGTGACAGTCCTCTCAATAAGAGGTACGTCATATAGTCCATACCAATCAACATTTTGCAGCATCCCACCGTTGCCCTGAGTCCAAAAGTCTGCGCAATTATTCCAACAACCAAAGTCAAATGGATTATTGTTCTCTGGCACACGATATCTGCGTTTTCTAGACCTTCCAACGAACAGTTTGAGACAACCACTGTTAAATCTATCTTCATACGCCGAAGTATCTGACAATGATTGTTCTTGTAGACGTTGTACTGCTCTTCCCCTTCCTGTTAGACTATTATCTCCAAGTTCATTATTATTAACCCTTGCATGATCCCCGAACCCGCTCTCATCCTCGCCCACTTGTGCTGCACTTGCAGCACCAGGTCCGGCAGATAATGCAGCTACAATGTGTTCTCTCACTTTTGCACCCCCGCGGCGACTCAGATACGAGTATCGATGAAAGTTTGCCATTTCGTTGGTCGTCTTTGCTGCTGCAATTTGATAAGACTGCATCATGAACAGACCAATGCTCCATGTCAGTTGTAGTCCAACCCAGACGCAGAGTCCTAGCGTCCAAGTATCGTGTTGGAACCAGGCACATATTGTAGAAGGTAGTATGCAGGGCTGGGACGGGATGGGTTGATAAGATGAGGAAGTTGTTGAAAGATCTAAAAGGAGATGAGGTAGAATGTTAAGAGGGTGGTTATGTGACGAAGAAATCAATGGCATGAACATTGATACTGTCATAATATACAAAACTCACATTCTATACAAAGATATAGGAAACTTGATATCGCTGCAATCATCATAATAAGAAATATCATAAACGGTCGATGATTTCTTACTCCAATGCAGTTAAATATCCATGGACAATGACTATTGCACATACAAATAGAACGATAATCAATAACTACAGCAAATGGGTATAGATGACAATTGATACATATAAGCTTACTGGTCAAAGCGGGCCACACATCGATTACATATTTTGCAATGTTTGGACCTTAGAGGTTTCTTTATCTAAGAAAGGGTAGATGACAGACAGTTAATGCTTGAAGATAAAAAATAACAATAAGCGATAATAATACTTACTAAGCACGTTGCACAAAAGTGCCTAATATCCAATATCCCTTTATTAGCAAGTTCAATAACAAGCTAGGATGAAATAAAAAATTGTTAATAGAGCGACAAATTCACTTGCTCATATACTATCACAAGAGTAATCTGAGGGAAAGATAGGCTATTACTGTGTTTCTATAACACATTGCAATAATTAATATCTCCGCTCTTCCTCCTCTCATATAACATACCTGTTTCTGCTCCTCTTGAGATTGACATTTATGAATGAATCCTGGGTCTGCCAACACTGCTCTATAGAAACAATACATAGATATAGTGAACGAAACAAAAAACACAATATTTGTCATCACCAGATACGAGGTTGCTAATCATCAACAACAGCAGCGCACGAATTTGTAACCATCAATAGCCAATTAAAGATATATATCATTAGAATTATTCAGCCTAGACACCGAAAAGATACATCGGCAATTCTTACAAAATTTTTTGCTTTTAATTTATAAAGGATACAAAACATAACTCTCGTAATCCACGTGACGGCGACCCAGAACGCACTCGCTTGGAATACACTACTGAAAAAGGGTGTCCGTATAACCGCGTTTTGTAGTTGTTTGCTTATAAGGATTCGGGATATTATAAGGTATGTGGCAATGTATTCAAGAACTATCATTGGAAGACCCAGAAACCAAGGAAAATGGACGAGAGTTTGGAGAGATATTGGGAGGAGAAAGTAAGGAATAAAGTATATTATCGTATTCGTTGTTCGCTTTTTGTTCATGGAAAGGGAAAAAGGGAAAAATGCAAATGCATATATATGGTGTATGCATTAACGATAAGTTAGACACGTAGTGACACATATATACGATCAACACAAGAGCAACAAAAGCATAAACGCAAATCTGTTCCGACATCATCATTCAGAAACAAACCTCGTCAAATAACGTTACTCTGGGTTCACCATCGCGTCTTCTTCCTGCCTCACGCAGAGCACTCCGCCAGACGTCCACTTTATTCAACTCCGTTGCCATATCCGATGGTGTCTTTCCATTTTCCTCCTTTGCCTTAGCATCTGCACCTGCATCCAATAACTTTCTAATACAAAGTTTATTTCCCTTTACAACTGCCCAATGTAACGCAGTAAACTGCGTATTATCGACTTTTGATACTGATGCGTTATGCTTTAATAAAATGTCAACGGTAGACGGATCACCTTGATAGGCAGCCCACATTAACGGTGTATGGTGAAGAGCGTCAGGTGTATCGATGTCGATTGAAGTGTATATAAGGAATAGGACAAGCATACTGTTCATCGAATGGACAGAAAGGTGGAGGGCATTAAAGCCTTGTCCGTCGCGTAGTGCTGGATCTGCACCGTGATTTAAGAGAAGAGTTACCGTTGCTAAATTGCCGTTTCTGAAGCGTGAACATGAAAGAATAGAAATTAGTGAATAGTATATTCATGATCTATATAATATCACTAGAAATAAGTTTACACATTATATAATGCTATTATTCAAACACTGACTAATACTTTCCGATAATCACACCAAACGCGATTATCCCAAGCAGAATATCCTCTATACCTTTCCATCTTCTTCTCCCACTCTAAACCCAACCACAAACCTTGCGGCCCAATGTAATGGTGTCGCCATCAAGTCGCTTCCAACCGCATTCACATCCGCGCCAGCATCAATCAAAAACCTCGCGACAACCACATGATTAGAGATTGCTGCCCAATGCAATGGTGTCGCTCCTTGCTGATCACGATCGTTCACAGTAGCCTGACCGCTGTTCAAAAGATGCGCCACCGTCTGGAATTCGCCTTGGGCTGCCGCTTGATGAATTGTGGGGCCTTGCGTAATAATAAATAAAGTGTATTCAAATTAAATAGTAGGCAGAATAAAGCAGAACTAGGGTAATTCATGACAATCGTTGATGGACCATATTAATATCGAAAATGGAATTATCTAATAAAATCGGCTAGCATACATGTACTTTTTACCTAATTTATGATCCCACTTTTAATGATTCCGTCTCCCACGCACGCCGTAATATTTTTATTATATTTTAGTTTCTCTCCTTTTTTCAGAATGCTCTCTTACCATTACTTTCTTCCTCGGCCTCATTTACGTCAACCCAATCGTTTGCATTTTCGGCATTCTCCGTCTCAGCTCCTGCTTTTGCAGCAGCAATCGCTGCAGTGAGCTTTGCAGTAGACGAGCCGCTTTCCGCCACCTCAACTCCTACTTTCCCGATCGTAACCTCAACAGTAGGTTTGGCAGTAGACGGGATAAATCCTCTTCCTTTTGCCTTGGGGGGAGTTCGTTGTTCGCTGTCTACCGATGGACTATTGTTGTCTGACTCATTCTCTTGTGCCTGAGAAGAGAACATTGATTTGAAAAGAAATACTAATCCAGTGTTTAAAATATTTGTGGTGGATTAGATATTTTAATGGGAGATCCGCCACGCCACAACCACCTATCAAATTTCGCGCCACACTTGAAATTAAGGATTGAACAGACCAAACCCACCTAAGATCGATAATTTCAACAAAGACAGTAAACATTTAGTATTAGGGAATACAATTGTAGACCTTAAGACTCCCATTACTCCAAATAATTGATTAGATATATTTATCGCGTTCTCGAGGAGGGCAAAGATACTGATGAGAGAAAACTTACTTATTGATAAAAAAATTCCCAAATTGCGTCAATTATAAATACAGTACTTTCCCAAAGTCTGTTGGTTTTTTATAATAATTGCCTTCGAATTAAAAACACAAGTTTTGTTTTCTACAACTTACTATATGCGTCCCAAGATCAGAATCGCCTCAACCAATAGAACAGGTGGCGAGCAATTTTGCAATCAAGATAATTATCATCACATATTATATGCCTACGATTGAACGCTAAAGGTGTATATTACACCAAAAAGGCACATATCGTAATATGGCCCTCGATACTGGGGACGCTTTCTAGAAAAACAATCGGAGGTTCCGTCCTTAATTGCAGGACTATTGTTTTATCAGTACATTACTATAAGCAGCGCCAAACACACCCACTAGTACGTAGCACAAATTGGAACCAAGATCACTACCAACATGGTTTATTTTTCCATATCCAGCTAGATAAAAAGAGTATTTAGCTGACCAAATAAAATTTTTTTTTGTCCCAATCTTCATGAGTTGGTCATCAAAGACAATATTATTAAAACAATGTCCCGGGTTAATATTAACGTTACTGAATTATCAGAGACTGATGCCATTGAATTGAGAAATAGTGGGGCAGACTATTTGATGCTTGATCAACATGAGAATGCTTTGAAACATCTTAGTAAATCTTTGGAATATGAACCAAGCAATACATTAACATTGAGACTATTAGCAGATGTCTACTATATGCTTAATCAACATGATAGTGCATTAAGAAATCTCAACAAATTATTGCAAATTGAACCAAATGATAAATTTGCATTTAGAATGATGGAGAAACTACTTGAGCTTGCTTTATCAAATAGTATATTAGTATTAGATATGAAAGATTACCAGTTTAATGATACAGGAGTAACAGCTTTGGCAAAAGCTTTAGAATCAAATTCTTCTGTGACTCATTTGAATCTTCAGTATAATCAGATTGAAGATACAGGAGCAACAGCTTTGGCAGAAGCTTTGAAATCAAATACTATCTTGACTTCTTTGACTCTTAATCATAATCAGATTGGGGATACAGGAGCAACAGCTTTGGCAAAATCTTTAGAATCAAATTCTTCCCTGACCCATTTGAATCTCCAGTATAATCAGATTGGAGATATAGGAGCAGCAGCTTTGGCAAAATCTTTAGAATCAAATTCTTCCCTGACTTGTTTGGATCTTCAGTATAATTGGATTGGAAATACAGAATTTACTGTGAAAGTAAATTCTTCTCCATCTTTGAGCATAAAATGGAGTAGGAATAGAGATTCTAATTCAGGAATAGTGTTGGAGAAAATCTTAAAATTGAGTTCAGCTTTGGCTATATTGGATCTTAATAATAATCAAATTGGAGATGCAGGAGCAGCAGCTTTGGCAAAAGCTTTAGAAGTAAATACTGCTTTAAGATTAAAGTTTAATTATAATCAGATTGGAGATACAGGAGCAGCTTTGGCAAATTTCTGGAAAAATAATAGGCCTGTACATGAGATAGTTTGTGCTGTGAATGACTTGGTCATACTAGGATCATTACTTCTCCTTTACCCACCAAGTCCTGAAAATTGGGTTAATACTAAACCAGGTTTGGATCAAGTTGTTAAGAAACTAAGCAGTTTGACATCACTTGAATTTAAACTGACAGATGCCTTGATTGGAGATGCTTTGATATTATTTGAGCACAAGTTTAGAAATATAGGAGACATACTTATCAATGCATTTACCATTGTTACAAAGAGAGACATACTCTCCATTTGCTTAAGAGAACTCTTGAATCCTGAAAGGACTTTCAATCATTATGACTTATTTGAATTTGTCATCAATGTGATTGATAAGCCTGAAGAGAAAATTCTCTTTCAACTTGAAGAGTATGCTATTGAGAATCCCATGATGGATGTCTTTCAAGACAATAATGGTTTAATTCCTCAAGCTTGTACAATTCTGAAGTATCCATCAATCATGTATGAATACATGTTAGTAAAGTTTGGCACAAAGTCTCGAGTTACTAGATATTTGATGAAAGAGATCATAACTGCACATATAGGAAAAGCAAAACTTATTAAATTCTATCCATCTCTAGCTTCTTCCGTTCTGATGGACTTCAGATGGCAGGAATTAGATTACATCTTCAATACATATTGTATGGCAGGTGTTCCTTTTGAACCAGAGTTTTTACCTTTGGTCAAAACATGTCCGAGTGATACAGTTATTAAATGTCTATTTGATGGATATTTATCAAGACTGTTTGGATTCAAAGTTGAATTCACACTATCACGAGTAGATCAACTCCCAATATTTAACATTATTCCGTTCACACACAGAGAACACAATGCAAGCAGTGAAGCAAACAAAGAAAAAGTGGAATGGTTGAATGCGATTAATTGCAATCAATATGAACCAATCACAGACACGTTTAGACGCCACCTTGAAAAGTTTCGCAGCCGTCTTCGTTTGAACTTGATTTAAAGAAAAAAAAAGCAGTTGTTAGTCTACGGTGAGTATTAATATGTATTGTACATGAAGTTATTACATATAACATTCTTAGTATTTATTCATTAATCCCTTGTCCTGATTTATGGTTTGTTTGTACAAAAGCTACTTTATTGTTATTGTAGAAGGCGGAAAGCTTTCTATTGGGCAAAGCACCCATTCAAATTATTATTATTATTATTATTATTATTATTATTATATTACTAAATCAGTTTCGTGTACACGCATCTCATTCAAAACGACAGTGTGTGACGAAAAAAGTTGCCGTTTTTATCATAGCTTTCTGCCCGCATATCTCAGCATAAAACGCGTCATGTAAAAACCAAAATAAAGCTCATGTTTACGGGTTATTTCTTGTTCCATTACTGCAAACAAGTTTTAATTAATGCGTAAAATATAGTTACTAAAATTTTACGTTTACATATGCACGATTTCATAGTATGATTCGTAAAATTTGCAACTTTTTGGAGGGGCTGTACAACAAAGTACATTCTGTTTACCCTGACAGAATTCTCTCGAATATAATTTATTAACCATCTGTGCGGAGATTGATAAGAATAGCCTTTCATTAGAACGGTGATAAATATCTATCCGGTAGAGATATTTAAATATGCTTCATTGGTATAAATAATTAGCAGTTGATATTACTAACGGTCTGCAAGAAATAAGTCTAACCATATTAAGCTATTTCTTTACAAGCCCGAACTTTTATATACGTAACTATTATTGTTATTTACCTGATGATAATCGTGGTAATAACAATCATTACAGAAGATGGAACATGTATACAAACCCTCATACAAGTTATGTTGTCACAAAACTAGAGTTGGTTAGTTCTGTTTCGCTCTTTTTACAACAGTTGCGACCATCTACGCATGCATTTTTTTTTGCTGTCGTAGTAATTTTGTCTGTTATAGAGAGATATTTTTTATTGAGAAAGTCTATTGTCCCCAACAAATTTAGCTCATAAATCCCGAAAGGCATTTTTAGATTGGAAGCTCGTACTTTCCGGCAAAAAAAAAATCACGATTTTAGTTTCTCGATACTTAAATTGATTATTAATCGACAAATTCGACGAATGAATTTATGGTAAATACGTTGGCGCAACTGCGTAAAGAAATTCGGGATCGACTTCGTCTTATCACAAAATAATCAACAAAGGCGCAGGAAATATTATTTTACCAATAAATGTAAAAGCTTAAGGGACTCAAATTGCTCGCTCGTATGTAACTTTATTAATCGTATTACTACCATCAAGCAATTTTGGGTAAGCGGTTTTGGAATCATTGGTCTCTATTTATACACGTATTGCCAAGATACGGATACCTGTTAGAACTAGAAATAAATTTTACACGAGTCATGTAAATAAATGTATTAAAAAGTTTTTATTATTATGGATTTTGCGCACCTTTATTAACGGTTGTCGGGGTTTCTTTTGTGTTTGATTAAAGCCTTCAGGCAGATCCGGGTACTGCTTTTTTCCTTTTAGCTATACAATATTATTAACTGCTCCAGTTTACTTGTTATAGTCATATTAATATGGGAAACTTTCGCTCAAATTCTGTGCTCTATGACAAAATATAACTTTACTGTGTTTACAACGCTCACGTGTAATAAATTAGACGGGCTAGCGACTAAACTTAAAGTAAAAATTATTCTCCACTTGAGCTTGCGTGCTCGGTACGCCACAGTAAACTCACCCGCTAAAAGTCCAAGTGGCTTATCGGCAAAACCCATGCATTATATTTCATGCAGTAAGAATGGGCGAGCCATTAATGTTGATATCGTCGATCGTCTATTCGCCCCAAAAAGCCCACAGCCGATACTTTATTCAAAGATTAGTGCTTGGATTTGGCAAGTATGACAGGAGTATTGATCTCAAGTTGGCGCACACTAAGGACCACTCGACCCGGTTCGAAACAAGTTGATCCAAAATAAAATCCGAGCCCGTGGGCAAGCAATCTTCATTTGATATTTGTTCCGGAATTCTCAAAGAGGGACATGACCAATTTGACGGGAATAACACACCCGTGCGCGGAAATGACATGGAGCCAGTTAATTATTTTTCGGCTGGTCCGTTGGTTATTAGTCAAGCGAGAACCAAAGTGAGGGAAAACATAAACGAAATTGAAAAAATTGACTACGATGTTCAAATTTGCGCCCTTTCTTCCTAGGCCAAAGATTCCATGGACTATCTAAATTTTGACTATGACAAAATGTAACTTGGTCAAGATAAACTAACTAATCCTAATTGAAGTTGTAACACATTTAATGTAGGATTGTCTCTGTATAAAAAAATATTAATATGAAACTAATTTACTATGGGAACCAAAAATTACACTATTAGTAGTATTTTAAAGGAGAAAAAAATGCGCCTTATGTTTTTATACCGGAATATCTAGACAAAGAAAAAATTACTTATGAAATTTATCAAGAAGAACGAAAAATAATAATCAATAATGAACATTAACCCCAGCTTATGATGAACCAAGAAAGAAACGAAAAATAGAAGCATAAGCAAATAGCTCTTTCTTTATTATCATTGGATTACCATCAGTAATCAGGAAAAATTTCCATGATTCTTTATTTAGAGTAAGAATGACAATAAATACGATAACTTTGGTTCGTTTCTGCCCCAAACACTACAAATCTGACACAATTCATGACCAGCAAACCGATAAAAATGAATCAGGAGAATAAAAGGGCAGACGATCTAAACTTTAGGAGACTGTGATGCCTTTGCATTTGTTCATTTTGTATCAAAGCCTGTTTGATCGACGAATCAACTGTTTCAGAATCCGTAACCGTAACACGTTTATAATCAGTAATAATAGTAAGAATAATGAACACGCAATCTGATCTTATTATTCAAACACGACCCGTACACTTATATTCCGTCTTAGAGAAAACCAAACTAAAATCAAAAAATGCTTAATTTCACCATCGAATTCATTTGTGGGTTGTTGATCGGACTTGTCTTCGGTCCTCTAATCAACCCTATGTTATAGCTCAAATGCTCAAAGCAACAATTCACGCAATCGAACTAAAATCCCAAACTAGACAACCGAAAATATTTGTCAATTGTCAAATATTTATGGAAGGATTTTGAAAAGATCTGAGCTGGACTCAGTTTTATTTAACAAAGTGGTTATGAAATTCCACAAATCGCGTGAAAAAAAAACAACATTGTTGCTTTTATTTAAAAGGCCCAATTCTCGAGAAAATGATCGATGCAATTCAAGGATGGGTAGATAAAGAACGGAGAAGTGAAGAAGATGTTAACAATAGTACCAATGGCTTTGGGTTCGAGTATTTCCTCCCATGCAATCACTTTAGTGAATCTTTAATTGCACTCGTTTTCAGAATAATAGCCCATATTGATGAAAATAAAATGATAAAATGTGTCTGAATTACGTTACCTTTTGGGGTTTCTGCGTTTCATATTAATATTCAACCTCTTAGAAAAAACCTGTATTAATTGCATTAACAAAACCAGCCCCAAGCCTCGAAGCATAAACTCCCTAGATAATGACTTGCACATAATCGTAATGTTCTAAGCAATGTGTTCTAAGTGTAAAATTTGTAAATTTCGTCGTATTAGTATTAGTATTGCGCATTTAAGAACAGCCATGGGAAGTGGTGCAAATCGATAAATACTATTACCTCTTCGACTAGGCTTATGTCATCACTTTGCATAAGGAGTTTAATGGCAATTGCGTTAGCACTAATTCTTCACTGTCAGTAGCATTGTCTATTCTTAAAAAAGCCTCATTCTTTCAGTACAAGTAATTCAGTGATGGCGGCGCAATTACCCTTTTTGCAGATGGTTTGCGTTGTGAACTTGCTACCAATCATGAAGAAGGCTTATCATTCAGTAATCATGTGGCTGGTTTTTTTTTTTTCGGCATCACCAACGTACTATTTTACGGCGGCCATATTGTTTTGTATTATCTCCCACAAACATATAGGGAAACAAACCAGTTGCTTCCTCAAGCCGTCAAACGCCGACTACGGAACTTGTCTCTCTCTTCTGTCTCGTTGACGGCGAGTCTACAATAAAAGCGTTTGCAGTCAGAATAGATAAGAATGAATTTGTTAGTGACCTTCGCAAGAAGGTAAAGAAGAAGAATAGTCAAATCTTCAAAAAACATAGATGCTAAAGATCTCGCACTCTGGGCCAAATAGGAGATGGCTCACCACAACCGAACCTTGAGGAACTCAATTCAGGCGACAAAAAAAGGGCTGCTTCCTGGAGAGGAGATGCAGGAAGCATTTCCTGAACCTCTGCTAAAGAAATACGTCCATGTTATTATGAAATCGACTACCATGTATGTAATCTTGACTGTACTTTTTATCCGTACTTTTTTGCTTGTCTGCATCTGTTATCTATTTCTCTTTTTCCAGTATCACTCCCTTTGATAAAGTTATATGGAAGTTTAACATAGAAAGTTAAATTACTTAATTAGAGCTTATATATTAGACCTAAATACATATATATCATAATACCAATTAATTGTAATTTGTAACTGCTTTTACATAATAATATTTTTTTATGCATTTGAAAGCTCTAATAATAAGCTTTAAAATAAGCTAAACTTTATAAAACCTGACAATGCTGATTACTATTATTTTATCGAAGCCGATAGTAATAGAGGCGAAGAGTCTGTCCGTCGCATTTTTTCTAACACGTTCTCGTATTTTATTAATTGATAACTATGGTATATACAATTAATTGCTACTGGTTAAAGCAAGTTTAAAATCAATGATGGAATAAAGCCTATTCATTTAAACCGTCATTCAAAAAACTTAATACTTGAAATTCTGCTCAATTTGAACAGAAATATTGCTAGTTTGTCAAAGCGTCTATCTTCTGCTTCTAATTCCTTATATGCAGCCAGCTTATAATTAGTTCAACGTTCGGTAATACTAATAATATAATTAATGAATTAATTTTTAATCTAACTTTATGACTTCACTACTCATTCCGAAGGCATAGTTATCTTCGAGTCAAAGTACGTGTAAACTGATAATTAGTTAATGTGTGTATATGTTATATTTAGTATTAGGATTTATGTGGTATTTAATGACCAAAAATTGTCCATAATATTGTGATACCAACCACGTTTTTTAATAACGCACAGCGTATTGCTAATGTTATAGTTATCGAACGCTCATCGCAAAATTATGAGATTAGTTAAATTATAAAAAGTTAACTTCTGCCGGAATAAGCTGAAGCAAACTCCTCTTTTTCAAGGACTGTTAGTTAACCTTTATCCTGCCTTGTCCCGGAATCCTGTCGAACGTATGAAATTCTTTAATTTCGAAAGTCATTATCATCTGTATTTACTTTGCAGGGTTTGGTATCGTTTTGAAGCTGATTGATTGTTGTCGAGCCAATATTCGGGGGAGAGCGTAACGAATATTGACCTTGGGATTTAGCCTTTTTCCAGCGAGATCCTTGATTATCTCTACTTCGGTAAATCCGCTACGACAATCGGGTTGGGTTTAACCGCTCACGATGCTAGGTTCGATTCTTGCGTACGCCTTCTCTGGAGTTATAATTAACCTCGAGTAAATACGTCTATTTCTCTCGGTGGGATTATGTCGAAAGCCTATAGGTTGGGAAACTATTCTAACAATTGCGCTATCTGAATTAATTATAAATCTTTATTGTCAAGGGACGATAAAATCGAGAACAAGGTCGATTCTATCAAACACCGACCAAGAAAGCGTTTTCAAGCTTTATCGGTGTTCCACAATATAGATCAGAGAATGCAAATATAAGTTTGGATAATTTTGTTTATTTGAGTAATAATATTAAGGAATATAGTATCAGGTTCAAGATCGAATCTATTCAACCGAAGACACCGTTTGCTAAAAAATTACGACTGCTTATATATCTATTTCGAGTTTTGCGCCTACTGCGCTGTTCTATACTCTAAAGCTAATAAATACATGAGGATTAAATTAAACGAAACAATTCCGGCGAAATCTGTTTCGTTTCTGGTGTAACTGACCCGATATATCCAAATCTGTTTCGTTTGGTCCTACAAATATTGAGCGGCTGTACGCTGCGGCTGGAAATGTTGGTGTAACTCGTCGGAATCACGGAGGTTTATCGTAAATCTTGACATTGCAATTGTACTTCTCGAAAATAATAACAGTAGTGTGTGGAAGAGTAGTATTTCTATAAAGCGGTAGTCAATGAAGTCGCAGTGTATAGAAAATATATAATTACTGTATATATTGTAACATCTACTATCGCTTCATCGAACTGTCCGCTTGTCATAATAATCTATCTTAATGTATCATTATTTATTTCACAAAGTACAGTCAATTAGCTTCAATACGATACCAAAATCATTGTTACTTGCGTAGTAAATACGGATGATAATGACTTTTGAAAATAAAGATTTTTCATATGTATTACTATTTGATTCCGGCAGGGTTGTATATAACTGTAATACTAAATACTACGACAATGTATGAGGATGTTTTGTCTTCGACATACTCCTGCGTATCCATGTTATGAAGTAATAAAAAAGGAAGTGACAACGATAGCACATCAATCGTTTAGACACTTTTGAAGTATAACCAGTACTGATCTCAGACAAAGTATTGAACGACCGCGTCGACTGTTAGCATGCATATATGTTGTACCTGGGAGGCAATCATTTCATCGACAATCATTTCACCGACAAATATTTACTAGCATTATTTAGAATTTATCCTTTTTTAGTAATTAATTGTCGGTGAAATGTACTGTCGGTGAAATGATTGTCGATGAAATAATACGGACCTGTTGTACCTCAGTTGGGGGCCTGTCTCGGTTTGGACTAAGACCACTGAGTTCTGGACTGAGTGTCTGGTTTAGACCTGAGACAGGTCCCAAACTCAGACACAACACATACAGTGAAGTTTAGAGAACGAACGTCTTACAATGCTATCTATAGTAATTTTAATAATGCGCTATTAATAGAGAATAATTCTCAGTGTGACTGCAATTATAAGAAGAGGTTGACCTATTGTCATTGTTTTAACTTACAATTGTTGACAAAAGTATTATTGCACGCTTTTATTTTTAACAATAAAATAATTTTTTTATAGGATCACAATCGATTCTATTTTATATTCGGATTTAATACATTAACAATTAATATGTCATCCACTGGCCTAAATTCTATTTGCACCAAGCCACGATATACTTTTTCGCGGAATCGTTTCAAATCTCTTTCACGACCTTTTCAAGTTACCAAAGTTTGAAGGCTGACACTTTCTACCCCAACTGCAGTCCCAAAATTCCCAATTTGGTTGTTGAGATCAGGACTTTGAGCAGGCCATTGAAGCACTCTATATTTTGGACATGTAGAAATTCTTTTGCAACCTCAGTATGTGAACAGGTAGAATGTCTTTTTGGCAAATAATCTAGTATCTGATTTATTGCAACTAGCAAAAACGTGAGTTAATAACAGAATCAAGGGTTGAAGTGAAGGTTTCTCGAGTTGATTAATTATACACTTTGACTTTAAATCATTGAATACTTACCATAACAGATATAATAATGTAGTAGTAATGTTATGAGTTGACTTGGTTAAGATAACAAACTCAATAACAAATAAAGAGTTGAATGCTTTCGATTAGTAAAAAATTGACACGTGCATGAGGAATTGCGAGACACGACAAACTTTGCCTATATTACAGACAATCCTGGTTTTTGCCTCAATTAAGGTTAAGAATGACAATACAAACTATTTAGTCATGGCATTTCGTAGTATTCATACTGTTATCTAACTGTGGCAGCCAATCTATTAAATGAGTTGAATTGCTTATCCTGTGTATCGCCAACAAGTCATAATAACGAAATAACTATCTTTTTTCATCGCCTCTACGAAATTCGATACCAACAAAATGCAAGTTTCTCTTGATTGCTATTCGCATAATTATCGTAAACATAATCCGTTCACATCCAACGATGTTGATAACATCGCCCATATGATATGAATTTATGATATGAATTACAAAGTTAACGAGGTGATGAAGATGCGGAATACTATAATTAGATAACATAAGACAATTATGTTTAATATTTATCGCAAACTTGTTTATTCAACTTCACATCCATTTCCAGAATCTTTGCTTCAACTACACCGACGTCTGAAAAGCCCGAGTAAAAACAATATTTAGTATTAGAGGAAAGCAAGTACAGAAATAGAAGAAAAGCCAAAAAGTGGAAAGGTATTATTGTAAACTGGATGAACAGTAAATTTGTTGAGCTTTAAAAGGTTTCCGCGCGTCAATAAAATCGTTGGGTGTCGAGTCAATTACCACGGGAGAGTGAATGCCCTTGGGGTGGTTTAACTTCATAAAACGAGGCTATTCTGCTAAATCTACGAATAACAGTCGGTGACCTTAAATATAAACTGGATTTATATATGCTACGGGCTCTTGCGTTCCGTTCGGTCTTGTATACAGAGATTCCCGATTTACTAATTAAACTGCAGCATATCCTCGACTTCTGGATAAATCTAGGTACTATTGGAGAATGTTTATCCTAAATGTGTGTAAACGATTGATCAGCAATTGCGGTCTTCTCACTCGACACTGCAATAAATTATGAGTTTATTAACTATAGAAGAATAAGCAAGTACGAGCAGTTGACTGAGATCTTAACCGTAGCTGATGATAATAATAATGTTAGCTAACGAAACTAATACTGTTTATATACATTTCTACGGCGCAGTATCCATTCACAAGTTGTGCTACTGTGGAGGCGCAGGATATGAGAATATCATGATTCAGTCTGTCATTTTGCTAAACGATGTTATCAGAGACTGATGCCCTTGGATTGAGAAACAGTGGAGCAGATTGTTTGATGCTTGATCAATTACAATATAAGAATGCTTTGAAACATCTTAGTAAATCTTTGAAATATGAACCAAACAATACATTAACATTGAGACTATTAGCAGATGTCCACTATATGCTTAATCAACATGATAGTGCATTAGGAAATCTCAACAAATTATTGCAGATTGAACCAAATGACAAATTTGCATTTAGAATGATGGAGGAACTGTTATCAAATGGTATATTAGATATGAAAGATCTGTTTAATTATACTAATACAAGAGCAGCAGCAGTAGCGGCTTTGGCAAAAGTTTTAGAATCAAATTCTTCCCTTACTAGTTTGAATTTTCAGATTGGAGATACAGGAGCAACAGCTTTGGCAAAAGCTTTAGAATCAAATTCTTCCCTGACTTGTTTGAATCTTCAAGGAGCAACAGCTTTGGCAGAAGCTTTAAAATCAAATACTTCCCTGACTTCTTTGACTCTTAATTGGATTAAAGATACAGGAGCAACAGCTTTGACAGAAACTTTAAAATCAAACACTTCCCTGACTTCTTTGGCTCTTAATCATAATTTGATTGGAGATACAGGAGCAATAGCTTTGGC